TGGGGAATTCTGGGAGTTGAAGTCCACTCATCTTAAAGTGGCCAAGTTTGGGCAACACTGGCTTAAGCAAATTCAGCTCACAGTTATATTCTTGCCAGTATAACTTGGGGGAAGAGGCTTTGCCACTAGGAATTTTTGTATCAGGTCCCACCTCACCATTTCCATCATCTACAGAAACCAAGAGGTCATCCGACACCTAATTGGTCAACTGCAAAAACAATAAATCAGGAGTAGGCAAGCTGGTATCCTCCATATGCTTAGAACTACAATTCCCACAGTTCCTTGTGATCAGCTATACTGGCTATTGCTGAGGGGAAATGAAGTCTATGACAACTGGGTGTACCAAATTGTCTATCCCACTAGAAAGGGACACCCTTCTTTCTATCTCTTACTAACCCCTTTTCCATCTTCATTCATGCATTTATCGCAATAATTTGCATGCAACTTACTCACCTGACTCTATGTGGCTTACAATGCTGAAATATTTGAACGTCATTATTTATAAATATCCATTTACCTATCTCAGTCATCTACTAAAGGTCCTTCTCTCCAAAATCCTACGAAAGAGGACTATTTTCACCATTCTTCCAAAGGTTAAAAGGGTGAGGGAGCTGCTACTGAGAAGGCCATCTTCTAAGAGTCCCACCTACTAGTTTTCCAGGGGTGGGCACCAGTAGCATCCCCTCCTGACTAGACCATGTAGGGCAGGAGCAGATGTCCCAAAGGTAACAAGGGAGCAGATGTCCCAATCCATATATAAGTGTATAGGTTACTACCAGCATCTTGAATTGGGTTTGGAAGTCTACCAATAACCAGTGCTTCTCCTTCAACACAAGTGTTCTTCTACTGAGCTGGTTCTTACTACTTTCCTCCATCTTTCTCTCTCACACAATACTTCTACTGTCTCTGAGAGTCTTTTGTTGATGCTGTTCATCAGAAGTTTGCACCAGAGGAATTTTAAAAATATTCTGAAGGTTGTGCACCCCAGCTTTAACTAGCGTCACCAGGAACTGTATCTAGCACCTTGCACATCCAAAGTAAGGGTGCTACGGCTAAGCCACAGCCATTTTTGTTGATTGAAGCTGCCTGAAATCTACTGTAGGCCTTACCGTATTTTTACCAGTTCTGTTTGATATGCCACATCCAGCAAGACATGATGAAACATACGTAATTCCGTTCTCCCCGCAAACAGGGTCCCAAACTTTGGTGGAGCAATTGCAGTGGCGGTTACAGTCAGCATACAAGTATGATTCTGTGTAGGAGAGTTCATCTATCCTGAAAAACATTCAGAAAGGTGAGCAGAGTGTGCATGCCATGGAAGAAAAGGAATCTCAAGACCTCTTGGAAATGGCAATCTTGGCGGCTTTGCTCAGTGCAAGCTTCACTGCATCAAATCAACTTGATGAAGATTCAAAGAATTGTTATTGATGGATAACCCCAAATCTGGACACTATTTGGTCCTATGAAGCAACCCAGAATAAGGGTTGGATCAGGTACGTACCCTTCATAAGAGACAGTTAAACCAGCAACAGAAGAGTTCTTGCAGAACATGGAAAAGGCAGAAAAATAGATGAGATACTCAATCAAGGAACTCCAAAAACCTATGTGGGCAGCTTGATACGTGCTTATCTTGAACTTTTTCATCATCAGGCCTCCAAAAAAATATCCAGCACATATAATTGGTAAATTGTACACACCTACAATAAGAGAGAGAGAAAATCAGGTTTTTGATCCCTCCAGATCATCTCTCCATTTTTGATGTTGCCAATCTTTAGACTCACACTCAGTCACATCCATTCTCACACACATATATTAAGTTTACCTATGAAGAAAATGGCATCAGAGGCAGATATTCCATACTGCTGCTCCAGGTACTTTGGCATAAAAGTAATCATTCCAATCCAAGCACTGAATTGCATCACAGTGACCCAAAGGAAAAGCATGTAAACCCGATTGTGAAAGAGACTTTTCAGGTAGGGGACAAAATCTGGAAACCAAACCACAGAAAAGTATCTCAGCATCTTTGCAGTCTTTAGTTCCAATGGAAGTTTTGCTTGGGAGACATACACTTTCCCTTCCTTGTGCATGTACAGATCAATTTTCCACTGATTTCAAGCTTGAGTACACATTAAAACAGGACAGGTCAATTCTCTGCCCCCCCCAAATGGAAAGTAGCTTCTCTGTATGAAAAGACTTGTGCAGGACTACGGGCCTTTCCCATTTGTACCCAACCATGGCATGGATATGCTCCAGCAATCTCTTTTTTCTGCTGTATTGCATTAATATTCCCTTCAACTTCTCTGTCACCTACATCTGAAGCATCTTAAAATTAGTATTTCTGGGGTTAAAGTATTGTTTTATTAAGCAACCCAGCTGCAGCAGATTTACAAAGCCTACAATCCAGAATACTTCCCCATTGTGTTGGAGGCACTGTCAAGTAACCCCTAAGGGGTTGGGATCAAACCTATTGGCTACTTTAGACTGGCGTGGACATACACCTTCTCCCCAAGTCATTGGACACTGTTCTCCAGGACCATTCTGCTTTGGTTACTGGAAGAGACCTGTTCTTTCAAATCTTGCACTCTCTCTGTACATACTGGATCTCCAAGCTGATCTCCATCTTGAAGATTGCATCAGGACTGCATCAAGTGGGGAGGGGGAGAAATATGGGGGCTGCAAGGTGAAATCAAAGAGAGACAATTCTCTACCTTGTTGCTCCATGGAACAACCCCCTCCCTGTGCCTGACCACAGTTGTTCAGGCTGCTTTTGAAAATGGGTTGACCAGCAGTGGAAACAGGCAACCCATGTTAAAAACAGCTGTGAGAAGGAAGGGAGGGTTGTGGCGTGAAGCATAAGAGTAGAGCTGGTTCTCTACCCGGCATCTTATGTGGAAAACTAAAACAACAACAACACTTTTCCTCCCTTACCTGCCAGTTCTTCTAGTTGGGGAAGTTGTTTCCTAGGCTGGGGGTGGGTTCTGACAGATGTCTCAACCTGCAGTAGCCATCTAGCCTTTAAGGCAGTGTTTCTCAACCTTAGCAACTTTAAGATATGTGGACTTCAACTCCCAGAATTCTCCAGCCAGCA